TAAAAACAGCGCCAATAACGAGGGACAAGAGAAAGAAGGAGACAGAGGTGTTTATTTACAGAGCGGAAGCGCGGAAGCCTCGAGGCTTCCGCTCTGTAGATAAGCACCGGCAACATGCAGCTGTTATATACCTTTCTCTTGAGGCTTAGAGGGAGATTACCCTGCATGATTTGAGCATGCTTGCCGATTGTGATCCACCCCGTCCTTATTGTTCTAGTTATTTCGCTTTTATGGTTAGGCTCTGTGCTTACTACAAGTCCTAAGTGGATATACTTAGCCAATATTAATTTTCATGCTTCGGTTATCGCCAGTACTGACTAACGTAAGCGAAAATCAGCTTTAAGTTGTGCGCTATGCGAACAGAAATAAAGACACGAAGATGAATCTTGTACAATTCAAAATGCCTAAACTTTTAGTCTTGATAAACTAGCATCTTTCTCGACACCTCATCACTTCACTGCTCTCCTTTCATTGTATTTTTTTATTTGACTGCACGAGCTTGCCAGATAATGCAAAAATAGAGAGAGATAGAGTGAAACGTTTCTTCACGCAAGAACAAGGAATCTTCCTCCTAGAAGTCAGCCCTTATTTCAAGGCCCCATTGGCTCACGCCACACCACGTGCCTGATGCGTCAAAATAGAACACTTATTTGCAGTGACCAAAGATATCTTGCTCCACTTAGGGGCATAAATTGAATGCCTTGTGCTATCATTCCTGCAAATAATTAATTATGACTTACTTGTGCAAGTCTCTTCGCACTGTTCTGTCGTTGCAAACGAGTTGCCTTTTGGCTCACACTCTCCATACATGAAGTTACTACATCCTCCTCCATTTCTGTTGTAATACCATCTGGTAATGTCCGGTTTACATTCATCTTCTTCTTGTGGCATGGCGTGGCATGGATTGTCATGCACCTTACCTGTGAAACGCAAACGTAATATGCGTGAAATTCCGTGTACCCGATCCATGTCGCAATTATAGGACGTCAATAAATCGTTCAAACTTGTTTTGCCATTTCACGCAGAACATCTGCTGCAAAGATGTGTGAAACCAAATTGTACACATGCACTTCAAAGAAAGCCCTCGGGAAGCATGAGAAATGGCACTTGTGAACGCCACAAAATGCAGCATTCAATAACGACGTTGAACTGCATTTCTCTTTCGGTCACATTCATGGGACTCTATGTAGAGAAAAAAACGGCCACACACAAAAAATAAGCTTAACGCAAATTACCGAAACAGCGAAATTGTAATCTTCACTTGGCACCATAAAACTATGTTGCTTGAATTTTTCGGCCTTTCAAAGTACCATGAAATACCACCAGTTTTCATTACGTAACCACTGTTCCCAAGGTTTTGCAGCCACTCGAATCCTCACATTAGATATAACAGCAGACGGTGCAATTGTAAGCTCACGGTTCGAATACATCTACTTAGTCACAAATTGATACAATCGCTCAGGCTGATTCATAGTCATTTGTGGGACGTCAACATCAGTACTAGGAGTACCAAAAAGTCGGAATAAGTGTATGAACGTTGGTGGGCAATGGTGAACGTGAGTAGGAGTGAGTATGAACGCAATTTAGTACTAACAAGTGTTAGTAATTTTGAGTAAGAATGCGAGTGTTTCCTAATGAGTGTGGGGAAGCGCGAGTACAAATGTCAGCGGGTACCAATGAGTGTGATTATCTATCTAAGCTGGCGAGACCATCAGCGGTCCTCATCAACTACCCAACGAGCACCAAGAGCTGGTATGATCCATACGGAACATTCCAGTGTGATTTATTTTGTTACTGTTTTTATCATAATGAGCTTTAGGTTTAGCAAATTATATAATGCGATCTGAATCACCGGTGCCTGAGAGCCTTACAGACGACTTGGATGACTCACGCCGCCCATAGTACCATGTACACAAGGCCTCTCTGCAACTTCAGTTCAGTCCGAGTCATTAAATAACCCCAGGTAGTCAAAATTTTTTGAGCCCTCCACTACGGCGTTTCTCGTAATCATATGGTTGTTTTGGGGCTTTAAACCCCACATAACAATCAGTTCAGTCTGGCTGAGGAGGGCGGCAAAAGGCTCTTGCAGAACACTGTCCTCATTACTGTAGAGCTACTTGTTTGTTTGCCTTTTGGACATTTGCACGTTATTCTGAGTATAATCAACCTGTGCTTAGACCTGAAACTTTCACCCTAATCTACTGAAGGCCATACAACAAGCCAAGCGCTTATTTTGTTTAAAGCGTTTGTGTTTTCAGAAATTTTCTGTATCGACCGAAACTTGCAACTTCGTTTGCCATACGGGCTCCCACGACGGGCTGAAACTTTGCTGTGTCACATGAGGTTGGGCGTAGCATTTACTAATGCACATTCTAGTCTCCTTAGAATTGCGAACAGCTCGGCAAGGAACATTCACGCCTGTGAGGAGACACTTGAGCACAATCTGGGCCACTGCTACAGTGATGTAGCCGCTGCCCGGCATGCCAGTCTTGCACTTGCTCCGCTGAAATGGCATCTGTTTGGGTGGAACATGTCACGTGACTAATGTTAGGTGACTTATTTGTCGAGATGACAAGTGACCAGCGCAACACAATTTTCGCTGGAACATGTCACTTCACTCGTGGTATAATTTACGTTACGTGCACATGCTGAAAATGATTACGAAGTGTGCACCAGGATGATAATTATACTTTTTTAATGCTTTAAGGTAGTAAGCGTTGCATGAACGGCTCCTCTCTTAAAACGTATAGCTACTTTATAACATTGAGATAATGAATTATGACACAAAACTGACTACCTATGTGTCACGTGCTCGCAGGTACTGCAAAGCTCTTCACATTACTACCACAAAACGTACTGCTTACAGTTATTTATTGCAAGAAATTTTGAACATTGAATCTGTAAGTTTACTATGAAGGCAACCACCAGTGATTTTGTGCCGTTTGTAGCACATTGTCACGGGGTGAAAGCAGGGAGAGGGTAGAAATACATTTACAGATTGTACACGGAGTACACAGTGTCCTTGGACCAAGATGGCGGAGTGGCAACAACAGCACGAGCTTTTGTTGAATCGTCATCTTCGTCACCTTTATGGTGCATTCGTTGATGTTAATGATGACTTGTATCATATAGGCGCCGCCGGTGAAAGCACCGTCTTTGCGCTTAAGAAAGCGTGCGATCCTGGGCAGAGAAGTAAGGCTTAAGGCGGGAGACTTGTACAATATCAGAGGACGGTGGAGACGATGAGGATGGAGTGTCCAGGAGGGTGACCTCATAGGTAACGTCGGTCAGTTGGCACAAGACTTTGTAAGGCTCGTTGTAGTGAGCGAGGAACTTCGAGGACAGGCCAACGTGACGGGAGTCCAGAGCAAGACCAACGGTCCTGGAGAGTAAGATACAGCTATGTGACGGCTGTCATAGCGATTTGTTGAGATAGTTGCGAGGCAGAAACGTGATCCCGGGCAATCTGGCGGGCCGCTCGCACCCGAGTAGTTGCATCGCGAGCGTACTCTTTAGGAGTGTCAGTATGCGATGGCAGAAGAGTGTCAAAAGGCAAAGTGGGGTGACGGCCGTACAAAAGATAGAAGGGAGAAAAGCCAGCGGTGTCATGTCGTGACGAGTTGTAGGCAAACGTCCCGTAAGGCAAAGTGGCATCCCAATCACGATGATCTACGGAGACATACATGGATAGCATTGTCGTCAGCGTGAGGTTAAGGCGCTCAGTGAGTCCATTTGTTTGCGGGTTGTAGGCAATGGTGAGTTTATGCCGCGTTGAACATGAGCAAAGAATGTCGTCCACGACCATAGAGAGAAATCAACGAACATGGTCGGTCAGAGGTTGACGCGGCGCCCCATGGTGGAGATTAACGTCATGAAGAAGAAAGTCCGCGATATCAGTAGCATAACTTGTTGGTAGCGCTCGCGTGATGGCAAAGCATGTCGCGTTGTTTGTTGCCACCACTACCTACTTATTCCCACTCAGAGACGTTGGAAATGGTCCAATGAGATCGAGGCCGACGTGGTAGAACGGGTCTGTTGGAATGTCGATAGGCTGAAGTGGGCCAGGTGGTGCCAATGAAGGATGCTTGCGGCGCTGGCAAGACTCACAAGATGCAACGTATCGGCGCACAGAGTGATAAAGGCCGGGCCAGGAGAATCAATTGATTGATATGTGGGCTTTAACGTTCCGAAACCACCATATGATTATGAGAGACGCCGTAGTGGAGGGCTCCGAAAATTTTGACCACCTGGGGTTCTTTAACATGCGCCCGAATCTGAGTACACGGGCTTACAACAGTTCCGTCTCCATCAGAAATGCAGCCGCCACAGCCGGGATTCAAACCCGCGACCTGCGGGTCAGCAGCCGAGTACCCTAGCCACTAGGCCACCACAGCGGGGTGGGCCAGAAGAATCGATGCCGTACGTGATGGTACGTGCGGGCTGCTCCGAGATGTCCTGCAGTTGGGGCATCATGAAGTTGTTCGAGCACAGTGGAACGGAGCGTTGCAGGAGCTGCCAGAAGTTCTTGGCCTTCGGTACTTGTGTTGCGGCGATAAAGAATTAATTCCGTCATGAAGCGTGAACAGGCAAAATGAAGGATCCGAGGTATCAGAAACTAGGCGGCGTATGATAGACCGCAAATTGTCATCACTGAGTTGTTCCCTACGTATGTCAGTGAAATCAGAAATGGCGAAGACCCAGTTCTTCTGTCAACTATATTTAAAATGCACATAGTAGGACTGTGGCCAGCAAGACGTTTTTACATGCGCTCTTTCAAAGTGTGGAATACTTTTCCTGAAAATATTCACCTTCCAGGTCGTTCCTAATGCTTCTAAGCTCTGTTTCAGTTTAGTCACAGTGTATATGTGATTGTTCGCTATGTTTGAATTGGTTTGGTTGTATAATTGTTGGTGCTCTAGATTTTTAATTCACTGTCGTGATCGTTTATTACATTTTTTGCAGGTTATGCTAAGCTTTGACCATTATGTTAAATAGTAGATGTGTGTAGATTCTATGCTTGGAAATTTGCAAAAAAAAACTTGAACAATTTTTCATATCTTCTTCAACATCTTGGAGAGACAATATGACGTCCATTTCTCTTTTTGCTGGCACCGACGTTTTAGTGAAGAAAATCGCACAAATGTTTTCTGTGTCCTGAAAAGTAACAAAAATGTATAAGAAAATTTTGACAGGGTATATTTCCAACAGAGCATCAAGAATATTACCAGAAATTAGTGATAGCTTGAACTTAGATAACGATGATGTAGTATGCAAAGTGTTTCTAACTCAAAATGAAAGGTGTTGTGAGGTGCTCACGACGTAACGGTTCTCATGCACTGAATGTAACATTGTTAGACGGCTCATTTATGTGCATGCTGCAGTAGACTTCCTTGATCACTCCTTAGCACAAACAAAGCGCAAACACAAGACGGTATAACATAAAATGGTCACCCAGAAGCTCACAGAGAAAAAAATAATACCTGTTGCTTTACTTGGTGTTTTTTGCCTTGTCGCATGTCTAACATTACATATTCGGGTTAACTACACTGAGGTTGGTATTTTCTCTTAAGAGATTCAGGAGAAGCGCTGTTCACAAAAAGACAGTTCATGGTTTCCTTTGAATACGTATCTTTGTCGGGATGCATCAAATGTATCAACAGATAATATCCCTTATCCTCAGAGAGCGGCGAAGCTCAAGACGTCCAGTTGCGCTTCTACCACTGATTTTATCAATTCTTAGCGCTCAGCAGATCATGTAGTGAGGAGCCAAACTAGTGCTCTTTAATACTGTGTCGTGGGGAAGCTTGTTTTAACTTTTGGGCAGTTGTGTAATAATAATAAACGTCTAATAATTGCTCAGAATATATTTACGCTGCTCACCTGAGTTATCAATTAAAATATTAAACGTTTTTTGAGGATATGTCCATAAATAGGCCACGTGCCTGGGTGCGCACACCAATTTTGTTGGAGACAATATTGCAATGCCCTAGGAAAAGTGCAAGAGGAATGCAGGACACAAATGTCTGAGACCAATGGGGCTCGGATCATCGTCTCCGTATTCATCTTGTCTGGCTAGCCATAATTTGAGCATTGATTCAATGGTCAGACACCCTAAAAACACTGAAGGAAGCCATATCCGCAGAATTAAAAGACCGAAAAATAAAATTAAAATTACATAAAATGAATATGCCTGTTTTATAAGCGTTTTATAGTGTGTCACAAAATGCGCACTACACATTCCTTTAAAGAAATCTGTCATGAGCAAAAAGCAAAAATAATTTGTTGCACCACAATAATATTATGCGAATAAAAACAGTATAATTGTAATTCACAAATGTAAAGCTAGAAGAAAGTAGAAGGATTTAACTTACTCAAGCACTTTTGCTGACATTCTTCGCAGCTGTCGAAGAATGAGCCTACCGTTGGGCATTTTTCAGCTTTAACTCTGCTGCATGTATAAAAACCTGCATTAAAAAACCATTTTTCGGAACTGTCATCACAGTTCCCTCCTCTTCGTGGCCTGGCACCACAATGTCCAGCATTTTTGGGTCTCTTCTCTGCAAGAGAAAATAAGCGTTCTGATTATAATTCTATAGCACGCGACGTTTGCGTTTTATTCATTTCACGTATACAAGTTTTATTATTGTCATGAGTCATTGCACAAGACCTTCAGAAACGATTTAAAGAAAATGCTGTTCATGATGTAACTGAAATCATTTGATTTCGCGTTAACGAACAACATACTATGCTTTGTTCTTCAGTTTTTTTATCATGCTGTTGGAAAGGACTGCATTGCTAGTAATCCTTTCTGAACACTTTTATGAGCTCTACCTATCATGATTTTTTTATGCAGTTTTTGACAACGAGAACGAGGACATTTTTTCGTAAAGAGCAGAGAAATGAACTACGAATTTGCATTGTTTTTCCTGCAGGAAGATCAATTTAATCCAGAAAGTTAAGAAATCACCAACACCTTAACACTTTCAGGCATAGCGGTACGTGTTCCTCACCACCAGTTGCTTAGCTAGCAAAGAAGTCTTTGCCTGCTATAATCAGTTTTCTCGAAAAGATTGTCAAGGCAACCAGCATTGTGCAATTCGGCAGTGGCCCCACGGGATGAGAAGGGCAATGCATGGTACAATACATTAAGCTTGTCTATGTCATTGCCAGGCCTGCATGAAGTTAAGTATTGCAATGACCATGGTCAAAACCGACCTTCAAAACTGTAGTTCGCTTTCTTTGACAATTGGCTTGGCACGTGTCAGACAAAGCTATGACGTTCTAAAGTTGGTTAAGTGAGGAAAAATGACTTGTTAAGTTACGGCGTAGCATCACCTAACTGGCATACAGTATATGTTTTTTCACAATACCAGTTTGCTTGATGGGTTCAAACATCATATAAAAATTTTAGTTAGAATTTCCAATGCATGTTTGAGGAAGCATCACTGCTCATCTATGTGACACTTCGCCACGCGCATAAAGCAAAGTTCACTGGTCACGTGCAAACTTAGTTTCTCGAAACATTACAACCACGGCGTTCATTTGGGAAGCATAACTTGTAAGAACAAATGAAATGCCTTTAAGCTTCACCTTTAGGTGATTCTCTAGTGAAGATACAGCCCCTCCTAGATGACGCCAACTCAACACGCCCGCAATAGAAGCAAGTGAAAGTAGTGTTGGTGGCAAAAAGACAAAAAAGACAAAAACGATAACAAAAATAGGGACATTCTATCTTAAAGGGCCGAAACACAGACCATGAATATGAGTTTTTTGCTGCAGTAAAAGAGATTTAGTTGAAATATACTTTTGAGGCGTTCAGCCATCTTCAAAAAATAGCAAATGGTTTTTATTTTTTTATTTGCCAAACTCGGTAGTACAATGGTCGCTGCACCATTCTAAATGGGATGCCCGTAAAATTTTCCATCCAAGCATACCACAACAAACTTGGAGATAGCTTGGCGCTTCTCCGTAATGGACTCTCAATGTTCGGACGTGCAAGAAGCTATCTGCCCTTGCAGCGAATCTTTCTTGAATTTACCCACAGTGTACGAGTCTATACTACAGCCACTATTTTTTTAAAATACGCTGAAGATTTAAATTATAAGGTATGACGTCTTTCTTATTGCGATAATCTACACTAATAACCGCGCATAAAAGGGGTTAGAAGTCGGGTGCTAGACTGTACAGGCCAAATTCACCATAAATTTGCAATCCATGCCGAAAATTTGGCAGACCTCACGTACCTGGGAATCGACGCTATTTAGTGCTAACCATGCGGAAGAAAGGTCACCGTGTTAAAAATTTTTCATTGAGCGACACGTCATGAAGTGACATTAAATATATGTACAATGTTGCACGCACAGACATATGTCGAAGAGCTGTAGATGTTGATATAACCAGTTGTCTGCACTTGCGCAACAATGCCAAATAAAACATGAGTATTAGCAATACCGGAAGCTGATATGAGGCGCTGATGCTCGAGAGGATGCTGGCTCTGGACACTGCTATATACATCAACTACAGTGTTTGGAAAATATAAACACAATTGACGTTAACCTGGCATGGCGGCGGTATTGAACGAGTACTTATGTAATATTTCTAACATTTGGTAGGCAGCACTGCAACCACTATTGATGTTTCACAAAGAGTGGCGTCTATCTGAAAAGTAGTTCCGAGACCTGGCGTCACTCTGTGATAAAATGCTTTATTGCCACACAGAATGCTTGGGCTCGATTGATTCCAACTGGGACCCTGACATTTATTACCTGCATTCGTCGATTCGACGCTACCGATGCCGGTTATTTCTTAACGCCCGCACGTTAAAATTGCCCATGTGTGTTCTCGTCGTTTCTGTGTAGATACCAAGTGTCAATCACCTGTGGCACATACGCGCATACCAGCGGCACATACCCGCCCGTGGGTATGGGCCACTGTCCGGCTGGAAGTGTTTGACGACGTATATGACGGGATTGTGACATTATTCATGTCTTGATCAGCGCGTCATATTCGTCAAACAATCTCACCCTCTCATGACAATTTTGGTTCACGCCAAAGTGATGTGGTGACCATGAGAGAACTCAAACTTATGCGGATAGATAGATAGATAGATAGATAGATAGATAGATAGATAGATAGATAGATAGATAGATAGATAGATAGATAGATAGATAGATATCATTTGCTCAAAGCCACTTAAGTTCACTAAGAAATGCTTTGCATTTAAAAACATCGCTGTTTATTCAATATATGAAGATGTTCCTACCGACGCTGACAGCTCTGCTGAAGGCGACAGTTCGAGCGATAACAATGGTGGCCAGGAAGAGGATTTCCGCGGTATCATATCCAGTGACAAGACCACCTCGTCTTACTGACAATGTCAGTGACGCATGCGATACCGAAACAGGTGCAGGTTTTTCCGTCACATACCAAGAAGTTCTCAATTGCTGTACAAAGCTTCAGATTTCACTGCAGCTAATACTTTCTAGACTTCGTATTATTAGCTTTTTATGGTGCCCACCACCTTCCCAGCTACCCGTCCGTTCTTATAATGTCCAGCTCTACTGAGAACCGATTACCCGAAGTACACCAATCACTGGTTTTGCAGAAGGTCATTTGCTAGGAAGTTTCAAATAATGTTTATTTTTTAAATACTCACGTTTAGGAGGCTTCCTTTTTCTCTCTTCGCTTTCTTCGCCTGATTCTTGTTTTACTGGCTGACGAGTGCGTTTTGGGCGCATATCTGGCCAAGTAGGACGTCGCTTAGGAGAAGCCCACGGAGGAGGTCTTGCTGCAGGAGGACGTGACCTTGGTGGCCGTGGCCTTGGAGGATGTCTTTTGGGAGGACGTGGCCTAGGAGGATGATCTCTAGGAGGGCTTGGTCTATGAGGTGGCTGCTTGGGAGGAGCTTCCCAAGGAGGCTGCGGCGTCGGTCTTGGTGCTGGACGCTGTGGTCTTTTTCCAGCGCCTGCATAGAAACGCTATGAAATTTCACACTAAGGTAGGGTCATGTTGATTTGCGTGTGATGTAACACGAAATCTACTTAGCGCTGCAGTCTTCCCATGATTTCCATATTATGCGTCGAAGTTAGGGTACTTTACAATAATCGAAACATGGAATGGCTGTTTTGCTTAATCTTTTGCGTGCTCGTGGTGGCCCCACTGGATACACATTCAACACGGTTGCTTGTTTTCAGCCCTATTTACCAACGATTTACGTAAGAGTCGTCTGCGCCCGCCATATTCCGATCACCGAAGACGTTTTGTGTGACTATGTAACATAAATATTGACCTACAGGTGCGTGGCTGCCCATGGTTCTAATAGATTATTACATCCTATGCATTAGGCTAAGAGAGGCAGCTACAGTTACATGCAAAGGCCCGCGATATCCTCCAAGTTAGCAGAGGTACCACTTATAACTTACCGACTACGCTGATACGCAGCGCTAATAAACAATCTTTCTTCGATTTTTGTACATTTGCAATGTATCCAGAGTGTAGCGAGGTGTGAAGGAACTTTCATATATGTGTCCTATTCACTCAACGTAACTCCAAACTATTCTATATACTAAATAAAGATTGCCAATAGAACAATGACAAATTTGAGTACTTTACGAATTTACAATAGTTAGTAAAGCTTAGCGACCATGTTAATTCTATAGTCAAAGGTATTGCATTTCTCCATAAAATCAACTAAATAACACGTTTCAAGTAGACGATTAACTCAAATTTCTTAACATGATTGCGTTTCCTTTGTGCATAAAACGAACCAAATATCAGGTTTGAAGTGTGGGAGAAATTTGCTCTTGTCTGTATATAATAGGAGAAAATAGAAATCATACTATCGAGGCCACTACCGCAATAGATGCTAAAGGTTTTAGCAAACTAATCGTATGCAACAGTTCGCAATACGCTAAAAATAAAATAAAAACAAGTTGAGTGTAAAACAATTTCAGTTTTTTTTTGTTATTAGTTACAGAACTGACAAAACGTGGTCGTTGGGCTTAGCTAGACTAGGTTCTCTATTTGCATCCAACATTTGTTACATTAAGTTACGCTCATTTTTACTCGTAGCCGAAGAAGAGTTCACCAGTCGAACGATATTGCAAGACGAACGTGCTGTACTACGAACCCTTAGTACTGTAATTCGGTCATTGGCCGAAGCCATCGGTGAAGTCGAATGCAAGGCAACGATCGCCGCTCCTAAAGCTCAACGCTGGCGGCTTTCTGATTTCTTCTAATGTTACGCCCGCCGAAGTTCCCACTCATCACTCGTTTGATTATTCCAATTAGCACGCTGGTACTCATCTTTGCACTTTCACTCATTAGCAAGCCAAGCGACATCAGCGGGATGGGTCAACACAGCTTCCCACTTTCGCCGCTATGGGACTTACGCAGATAACTTCGGCTAAAGGGACCTCGGAACAGATGGCCAGTCTTCGCGCTCCGTTATTAAAGACGATAGTTTTTCTTGAGGACCTTCAACACAAAAATTTTGGTCTGTTTGTCTGTCTTCCTGTCTGTCTGCCTGTCTGTATGTACATTTGTCTGCTTATCTGACCTTAACGATACCCCTACGACACCAAGCGAAATACCAAACGGCCGACCCCACGGCAGCGCCCAGCAATATTGCTCAATTTTCAGGTTTCATACTTGTGCAATTGTCAATTAAAATCAAATACTGCACTTATTGAGGCACCAAACATAACTTCAATATTCTTTATGTTTGTCTTTATAGTAAAAAGGCATACATCGGTAATTCTAAGGATGATAGCGTTTATCAAGCTGCGCTGACGATACAACGCTTGCACGAAAAGGCAAGTGTTTCCAACGCTTTGTTAAGACGACATGGTGGTCTCACCTCCCCGTCGATTAGCGTTCTACACCTGATCGCCTCTCAGATGGGCGCACACGCGGCGCGCTTCGTTTTCCAAGATAACTGCCAGATAGCTCCCTTGTGTCACGTGGGACTCGACTCCGCTGCACGCTCAACCAGACAGACAGACAGACAGACAGATAGATAGATAGATAGATAGACAGATAGATAGATAGATAGATAGATAGATAGATAGATAGATAGATAGATAGATAGATAGATAGATAGATAGATAGATAGATAGATAGATAGATAGATAGATAGATAGATAGATGCTCAATGTTTAGTTTGAAACATATACACCATGCCTGGAGGGGGCGTTTTTTTTCTGGATATTACCCTTTAAAATGTACGTTAGAAATTACAGTGAGTTTTATCATTTTTTTCAACATCCTGAACGCATTGTTTTGAGGGCAGTTGAGTAGGGAAAGATAATTTTCATTATAGTTGAAAGTGAGTTGTGCTTAGGTAAATTTTTGCCTAAATGTTAAAGGGACCTTGATTTAGATTGATAGACTGCACTCTGAGAATTGTAATGTCATGAGTTTTGCTATAAAAGGTAATTATAAGCCGATGTCACGGTGTTTAGTGTGGGAATCTCAGTGTGGCCTCGCCGCCCCTATTTTATTTTGACACTTTTTTTTTACTTACCAGCGTCATCTTGCGGTAAAATCGGTGTTTTCGGCATTGTAGAACTCTTTTTCACCAATAAGCAAGAAAAATTGTTGTTCTCTATTGAGTCACCTTTAAAGCAGCACTCAAGCGATATTCATATGCCTTCAGTATACTGTTACTGCGCTGATGCGCTATAGCAGTAAACTCTGTGAATTTTCAAGACGGACTGATATCAGTCTGGAAACAGCACTTCAGACCCCTCAGGCCTGACTAACTCTCAGTGATATGCATACAGCAATGCATTTGGTGCTTCCTTAACAACAACATTACGCTTTAAAAGTATTATTTACCTTAAAATTGTACTTTTTTTTTGGAAAAAAAAGATAGCAATAGAAAGGCTTTACAGGTCGCAATGCCTGAATTTCTACTGCTGAAACAACTATTGTGCCGCTATAGACTTTAATCTCACTCCCACTTTTTCCGAGCACAGAAGTTCTTTTTAGAGATGAATTACAAAATAACCACACATTGATAAATAGAAAGACATCTCCACAACGGTCAAACACAATTCGATATGGAGAAACCACATACTTCATACAGTAATCTTAGCAAGTAATAAAAAATGCCTTACCCTTACAGCTGTCTTCGCACTGTTTTTTCGAATCAAACGTGTTGCCCCGTGACTCGCACTCTCCGTACATAAAGTTTTGACATTTTAATTCTTCTTGGTTGTAATACCATTTAGTTATATCTGGTTCACAGTCATCGCCTTCTTTTGGCATCACATGGCAGCCATATGCCTTCCCTGTGGAAGAGAAGCATATTTTCCGAAGCAGTTTTGCTTTCAAGCAAACTATCACTCACGAAGTGTTGAAAACTTGAACAGCTGTTCCCTTTAACTTCCAGCATACAGTCCATAATTAATTTTTAGCAGAGAATTGTACGTTTCCGCCGCAAAGGAAGCGGTGGCAAGCTTGGGTATCAGTGCAAGCAAAAATAACAAAAAATGTGACTTTCGCACGATAGCGGTTGCTTGTTTTTTTTTATCTCTCGAATGAAGCAAGTTTCAAGGTTATGAAGTGAAGTGTAACTAAATAATGTTTTGTGTATTAATTGTATCATTTACGTCGTTCATTTTCTAATCTCATACCGTGTTACAGTAATACATAAACCAACTTGCCAGGTCAGAAACTGCGTCAAAATAGTTATTTGACATACATGTCTGCTTTGATTTTGTAAGATTAGAGCTCAATCAACCAAAAGAGAAGCAGGGTTTGGTACAGCCTAGTTAACAATAGACTATATTCGTGGTATAAAACAGGTAATAGAGAATTGCCCAATATACAGCCAACCTATAGATATATAGCCTTCCTATATAATGAGAATGCATTCGATTCAGTGAAAATATCAGTGGTTCTGCAGGCACAGCTAAGTCAGAACGTCAACAAAGTCTATATAAACATACTGACAGAAATATACAGCATATTCACCACCACCATAGCCCTAAATAAACAAAGTGACATAATCAAAATGGAGGAGGGTGTAAGGCAGGGAGAAATTATCTCATCAATACTAGTCGACACTTGTTTAGGGATGTTTTCAGTGCCTTCGATTGTGAAAAGTTAGGGATAAGTGCTAACGTAGAGGTTTATAGTAACCTGCAATTCACCCATGACATAGTATTGATGAGTAACTCAGGGAACAAATCACAACTCATGATATCTGAACTGAACATAGAATGCAGAATTATAAGTTTGAAAATTATTATGCATGAAACTAAAGTATTATGAAACAGCCCTGGCAGAGAACAACGTTTTGCGATGGAACAAACGGGGCGTTAAGGATGGTATATTTGAAATCATTAAGAGACGGAGATGGGCCGGGAATGAAGCACTTAGGCAGAATAACCGCTAGTCTATGAGAGTACTGACTGAAATCCAAGAGAAGGCATACGCCTCAGAGAGAGACATGAAATTCATAAAGGCACATGAGATTAGAAAGTTTGTAGGCATAATGTGGCAGCAGAAAGCGCAAGACCGGGTCGATTGGCAGAACATGGGAGAGGCTTTCGTCCTATGGTCAGGAAGATGATGATGATTATGACGTGGCTGTGTTTATGTGCGTATAATGTAAGCAACAATGTGATATATATATATATATATATATATATATATATATATATATATATATATATGCTTTAAATGAAGCCAGGGTATGTAAGTTCATTTTTCCTAATAATTGCAAGCGAACTTCGTTTCAGAACCGTCAGCGTATAGACGCCCGTAAAAGGTCATTGCCTTTAGCAATATTAATGCGTACTTATGCTTGTGACTAACCTTCCCTAATACCAAGCGAAACCTGGTATAGTGTGCATGGCGTCGTTGCAGCCGAAAAGAGATATGAAGCATTTATTAAAGAATACGGCGAGATTTAAGTGTGGGGAGCGTGAGATCCTTTTCGGAATTTCTGCTCGCCCCTGCTACGCAGTGGCCTAGCTTCGAATCTGAGTTCTCTGTCTACACAAGCAATAGTGACCAAGTTTCCTTGTCTGTTTTTATGGCCGCTATGACTTTCAATCTTTCTCACTTTACTAGTGACGAACGTATCAGCGCTCCGTCTTGAACTTGTCGTCAATCAGCTTATATCAGAGCCGCGTCTTAATGAAAACGCCCCTAAAGCAAGCGCGTCAGAGGGAACCGGGTCAGTTTATCGCTTCCGGCACTGCAGTTCTGTCATGTCTTCAGCTGCACGTCAGCGCGACGAAATAAACAGTTGTTGCGGCTTGCCTTTCTTTTTGGCTTGCACGTCCCTTTCTCGTTGTGGCTGGTTGACAGCTCGTGAAGGTGCTGGGTTAGTACATCTTCTGACAGCCCCTAGTGTTATATACACCGTCCCGCGTGCCACACGAGATGGCCGCGACCTGTGCGGATCACATGATCACCCACGCTACTTTCTTTAGCTGCTTTGCGAAAGCTACGCCTAAGTGACGTGTCACTAGTGGGTGGGCGCTTTATTCGCGTAAGCTCGCTAACTAGTCCCTCCGTTTGTGCATGCGTCCGCCCGCCTATCTCTCTATCCGTCCGTCCGTTCGTCCATAGATCAAGCTACGTATATTGTGACGTAGGTGCGCTTAGCCAATGCTAATATTTTCCGGCTTCTAATCACATACAAGTTTCCTGTGAAACAGCTGCATGAAGCCAGTACAGATATCGTGCATGATCACGTGCGTAGAATAGCGAAAGTCACATATCTTCTCACGCACGACGGTTTTTACCTTTTAAATATGTTCTTTCGACTATCTAACAGCACTGGGTGCAAAACGGTGGCAACACAGGACAAGGTTAAGGAAAAAAACAACACAAGGGCTTCTGTTATTCATTATTTAGCTACCGTCCCGGTTTCACCCTGTTCTCAACTCAGTAACATGCACCAACTGACCCTGCAAGACACCCCTCTATGTAGCCCGGTGGCACACTCACACATAAACCATAAGAAACCTTGACTATGACATGCACCGGTACTCTGCAGAATGCATTGAAACTAGTAGATCATGCATCAATCATATTGAGTAGCTATTTGCAGACGGCACAGGGATGCTGTCAGCGTAAAAACTCCTTAAGACTGCTCGAGCTTTTGTCGCTAAATCTCTCCAAGTTTATTTTTGTCAAGCTTCTGTAGTACCCGAGTGGTACACCAGCCATGTAAGTGTTCGAAAGGGCACAAAAGACACGGAGCTGGTACATTTATAACGCTTTATATAGATATATTGCCGTAGCTTACCATCTGGTTGAATATATGCGAAGTATGCGACGAAAGTAAATAGCCGGACTCGCATTGCTAAGTAACGCACTTTAACATACTATCAGAGTGAAAAAAAAAACTGTTTACTCTTAGCTTCCCATGCCTGGCCAAAGGAGGCCGAGAAATACCGAAGAAGCGTTTCAGTAGCTGCACAATGTCTAACAATGGTGCGACTACAAAAGTGCAAATGCTTATGGCAGGTTTTTCAAACGCAAGTGTTCCACAATAACTGCCTTGTCGATGGGTTTTAAAAGAGAAGAAACCTATTTATTTCAAGGCTCGGTTTTCAAGTAGTCGAACTTGCTGTTGCATACACGCTTTCAAATCTTAAAATAGCTAGAATCAAGTAGAATTGCCAATGTTGTTTTTTTTTAAAACTGAATAAATTAACTGAAGAATCGACTGTGAACTAAGAAATTTGTCTAGTTGTAGCGACCAGGACACAAACAATATGCTTCTTGAAAGACAAGTCACACTAGTATCTCAATCAGAAAGGGCACTCTAAACGGAGTGGCAATGACCAAGGCGAAATTCATTCATACATTAAGTAAAGATTGTTTGAATTCAGAAGGGTTGAACAGATCCAGAGGTTTGTTACGCATCTTAGAAGGGGTCTGTGGGGATCTCGAAGGATAGTACACCCCGCAATGCACCAGAGATTAGCCGGAGTTGTACTGCGTGGGTGGCAAACAGGAGGTGCTCCCAAGCGTCGATTGCGTGAGAAGCGTAACAGTACGTGGAACATGTCCACGCGATGCGTTCGAAGGTGAATGGCGGCAAGCAGCATCTGAAGTGTGGCGATTCAAGCTGTTGGTATACACAGCCATGATTATTGGGGTTTTCCGGTATGTTCGTGACGAAGGCTTGCAGGCAATGTACGTAGAACGTCCAGTACATGTTGTGCGGTCTCAATGTGTGGTGACTTCAGCCTGCCGACCAACACTCGAAGTGTGTTTAACAGTGATTTAACAACTATCTGAATAAATTTGTCTTTATCTGACAACTTATATGTCGAAAACTGAGAGTTCGCTCTTCTCAAGGTGCGCTGTGAATCCGCATGCCACTGCGACTTCTGCAATGGAAGCCAAACCGCGTCAGATGTGTCCATGGCACTCTTGCTTTTAAATGCGAAGCATTTCTCAGCAAACGTCGGCGGCTCTGAGCGTATCTATCTATCTATCTATCTATCTATCTATCTATCTATCTATCTATCTATCTATCTATCTATCTATCTATCTATCTATCTATCTATCTATCTATCTATCTATCTATCTATCTATCTATCTATCTATCTAGCCACCTACGACTTTTAGCTCTCCTTGCCGTTTCGATATTGCTATTGATACCAAACTTGGTATGGCATAAGATGACTGTATGAAGAACATATTTGACTAGACATAACATGCAAATCGTGACATGTATGTCCTGAATATCAAGATTTACATTTCATGGTCCTGCAGCTCTTGCGGTGGTTTCGTTCACATGGAATGTTGCAAAACAGGTATGGTACGACATGATTGCATGGCGATTACAAGCGACAGAACCTAACACGAAAATTGTGACATGCGTGTCATGTAGCAACATGACTACATGCCACGCTCATGATGCGCTCACGGCACTTTCGCTAGCATCACAAATACCAAATTTTGTATTAGAGTACGTGAATGGATGACGAAGGTAAGATACTTGTGCAAACATGATAAACATAAGATGCGTGTCATGTAACAACTTGACTACATGCTACGCTTATGATGCGCTCGCGGCCATTTCGCTAGCTTCACATGTACCCAACTCAGTATTACGCGACGCGAATGGACGACATAAGTAAATGACACATTCAAACACGTTAATTACTGCATGCGTGTCACGTGACAACATGACTGCATGCCACACACACGATGCGCTCACGGCCGTTTCGCTAGCTTCACATATATCTAATTTGGTATTACGTGACGTCAATGGATGATGAAGGTATGTGACTCGTGCAAACATGATAATCATGAGATGCGTGTCATGTGACAACATGACTACATGAAACACTCAAGGCGCCAATACAATTCGACTGACGCGGTGCGCATGCTTGCCGGCGTTCATTTCGTCGCGCCACTCTGGCATGGCCACGTCAGACGCCGGTCCTGCCATATAGGCCCATTCCGTGTGTGTAAACACAGGTAGGCCAATGTCTACATAATAGGAAAATTATAGCGACGCCCGCACGAAACTTCCACCATAAACGCTGAGGGCTGCGATGGGCTCTTACAAACAAAACTAAGTTGTGAGACATGACTCACATTCAACCGCGACGTAGCTCGTCTGCATTGCGGTTTTTTTTCTGGTTGCTTGACGAAAAACTACACGTGCACCATTGAAAACCCAGCAGAAACTGCGGTAACTCAACCACCATGTCTGCATATATATATATATGTGTGTGTGTGTGTGTGTGTGTGTGTGTGTGTGTGTGTGTGTGTGTGTGTGTGTGTGTGTGTGTGTGTGTGTGTGTGTGTGTGTGTGTGTGTAATAATCTAGAAGAAGCACCTCCTTCAACGTTTTAACGCCAAGCTATTAATACTTACCATTTGCTGAAGATGGACATCTCGGGGGAACTATCGTGTTTTCAGCATCTTTGGCAGATGGCGCAATGAGTAAGCGTCACCAGGTGGTCACAACGCAGTGACGCGTGCTGATGCGTTCATTTCTCAGGCAAAATTTGCCCCACGGAGTGGAGGGGAGTGAATGATCACGCGTGCGTGCGCTTATCTCGCTGTGGGGAGAATTGTACCCCTTGCACTTTCACCGCAACTATTATATTATAGAGTTTACAAATTGGGGCCCCAGGAAGCTTGGGGACCTAAGAAGTTTGGAACCCACCTGGGCGCATGCGCAGAACTTAAGGAAATCATGTGCTTCTGGGTTTCTGTTGACCCAATACCCGAAACTCGAAAGCTAACTTGGGTCCACGAGGCATCTTGGGTCGCAAGTGAGATGAAGCAAACGCAGCGTGAGCCATGGGGGCGTATGGCTCGCGTCTCGCATATCATTCGATTTCGTAATGGGTGGCACTCTGTGCGCTTGACCCAACGCAGCTTGCCTTTGACCCAGTTATCAAACTCTGTTGATCCTCCTAACACAGGAGCAACCTACGCATCGCAGCTTCGGGACCCAATGTCGAACTCGTTCTCTGGATTTTGTGCCAACCGGTTGTCCCCCGCGATCTCCGACGACAGCTCTCGCCGACTGGGCTCGCCCTATGTCATCTCCGGACACAGACAAGAGCTCTCACCGAGTGGTACACTATCCTCAGACTCCTTCAACCATCCCCATCTTTGCTATCTCCTCTTAACTGCCATCTTTCTCTGTCGTTCGCTGTTCCTGCGCCTCGCTCTCTCCTTACTTTTTTTTATCTATCTGTTTACCTTTTAATCCTATCCTTTTAATTCCTTCTTTACCCCCACCCTTCGGAAGCTACTGTTGAGGTGCCCTCCCCCTGAGAGACCATTACGGGGCACACTTTTTTCTTTTTTTTATTTAAAATCGCTCACTCACACCCAGTGTCGTGCACTCCCAATTCTCAAACTCTCTCTTGTAGTTACCGCGTGCACAAAGGTCACTGTACTCGTTGCGCAGTCTCTGTTTGCGAGAATGGCGCACCTTTTAGACCCAGCGAAGTGACAACAGAGACGCTCATTTGAGTTCATCTGTACCCATCAGTACGTTGTGTGCGTCACTTGCGCGTGAAAAACATGGTGAACATTTCGATCTTTCTGCCATCCTTCTCGTGACCTTCAAATCTGTTGCTATCATTCTTTGCTTCCTCTTTGCGGCAAAGTTGTGACTTTCTTCAAGAGTTTGTAGCGTTAGCATGAGAGGACTGAAGAAAAGGTGACAGTGAAGAACGGGAGGCACAGCGGGGCGCACCTGAGCACACATGCTCATGTGCATCCCCCTTTAACTTCCTCAATCCAATGTGTCGCCTTTACACCCAAACTTGCGTGCTTAGACTGTTAGGTTGTTTGTAAAGTTTCGTTAGGAAGACGTCACTTAGACTAAAAAATAACGCGACGGCGTCTTCGCTATCGGATGATGTAATCTCATATTAGAAGCCAGTGACTGTGCAGCTGTGGTCACCAACGTTAACGTTTGTCAGCGGTCTTCTAATATACCTTCGTTAGTGTGGCCGTACATGAGTAAGTTCAAATGACGCAGAACAAATTAACATGCCAAGTAAAATTAAAAAATACAGCACCGTATTTTCTTTGTATATGGACACAATTGCAAGATAGTTTTAAAGTTTATATGCTTACAATGTTTTGCAACTTTGTACTCGTAATTGCAAGATTTTATATATGTAGAGCAGGGAAGTACTTTCAAAACAAGGTTACGTTCAACTTTCATTCCAAGCCGGCTGGCCAGCACAACATGGGAAAAAGTCTGTACTGATTAGAGATTTTTTGTAATTTGGCCGCCGGTTCTAAGAAAGCCACTTGAGCGTTTTGCGTTGTATCAAAGATACATCTATAGCTGTAGGCTTTTTTCGGTGAATTCTATCTTTGGAGCAAGTGTGTCTAAAAAAACAAAGCCAAAGCTTTGCCGCAAAGACAAAGCAATGAACGCGATAGCAACCAATTGGAAGGTCACGCGCAAAATGGCAAGCAGATCAAATCGTGCTCCGCGTTTCTCACGCACAAATCACACACGAAACGTACTAAAAGGTACATATGAATGCAAATAAGCGTCTCAGTTGTTACTTCACTGTGTCTCAACAGCGCGCCCTTTTCGCTAACGGAGGCTGTGCAAAAATATAAGTGACCTTTGTGCGCCCCGTAACTACAACAGAAATGTTCCAGTGCAAGCCCAACGCCAGCCGTGACATATGATCCTCCTCAGCGGGAGATAAGGGCGTGCGAGAGATCGTTCACTCCCCTCCTCTCCGCGGGCCAAAGTACGCGTGAGAGATGAGAACCGCCGCGCGCTCACTGCGCCATCTTTCTGACAATGCTGAAAACACGATAGTCCCCCCCCCCCCTGAGGCCCGCCAACAGCGGTAAGTGGCAGATATAAATAGCTTGCGGTTTGAATGTTAGAGGAGGTATCTTTCAGTGGCTCATTCTTTCGTCGGCACTCACGCGCATCGGACGCAAGAATCATGTGCTCCGTAGGAGCGGCGTTTGCGGCACATACTAGCCGCGGT